TAAACAGGTCTCACTTGTAAATGAGTCTCCGAGGCTCAATGTGATTTATCTGTCTAAATAAAAGTTGAATTTTTTAATTTTTTTTAAGTTAGCATTGGGAAATATTTAAACAGTTTGTAAAGCTTGAGGCAGGACGTAGAGCTCAACATGACACAGAAACAGCACTGCTGAAAGTTACTACTGATAACAGAGAGGCTTTACTCAGTGGAAGAGAGATCATCTTCCAGGCTGAGGATGGAGCCTCCAGGCCCTGCAGCATGCCAAATTATCCTTGGGCATGTCTGAAAGGCTTGTCCAGGGGCCAGACATATTTATATTTTGGACTTAATGACACAGTATTTGAGCTATCTGCAGTACTGATCACTGCCAACTGGGCGATATGATTAAATCTACTGATGAAAGCTGGCGGTGACTAGTCCTGTCCTGTGACTGCAAATAAGTAAAACAGCTCAGCACAGCATATGTTCAGTTTACCATCATCATCCTGAAAGTAAAAATCAAGCCTCTTTTTGCATCTTTTCAATTAACCAAAGCACCATTTAACAGTAAACTATATGTAACAAGTGACAAAATGTTACTTTTCCATTGATATTAGTGTCAATACGACACACATTTTATGCTCAACAATGAAACCAGGTGTAAGCATACCTTGAAATACTCCTTTGGGTAAAACTCTGAGTCTTCCTCATAATTCCACGGATATTCATACCCTTTAAGAGAGGGATAATTTTCTGAGCATTCAGTTAAGCTACCAATATTTATTCTCACATTGAACAAGTGAAAAGGTCAATTTTAACAAACTGCATGGACTTCTTTAGGTTTATGATGTGCATGTGATTCGATTCTTGATGCTGATAACATGCAGAAGAAATAATTTCAAACAGACTTTATGAAGCTGTGTTAACAATAAATACAGACTCACTGCCTCATGATGGGGCAGCTCTATCCTCCGTCCTGTTCCAGCACTTACCTTTAACAGAGCACAGCACAAGCACACATGTTGCCATAGCGATCCAAAGCCCCTCCATAGTAGTGCACATGGACCACTCAATGGTAACCCTACAAACTGCACAATGTGATGCTCAGTTTGAACAGATATCACTTTGTTTCAACCCCTCAATTTAAAGCCGAGTGACAGCCTGCAGACCCAGGAGTAATTCTGCATGTTCATCAGAGTGTGAACCACAATAGAACATTTTCTTCTGGTTTTTTGTTGTTGTTGTTGTTTTTTTAATAAAAATTTACAGTAGTAAGGTGACCACAATCACAGCTGGAACCCTTATCTACATTTGATGATTTGTAACATTTCATACAAAAATCAGCGATTACAGTTTTTCTTAATTGTTTACACAAAAATCCTGGTACTTGAGACACAGTGACCACGACCTGTAACTCATGCACAACCCCCTGAACCAGTTCTGCTAAACTACAAGCACAATTCCTGCTTCACTCTCAAACTGTAGTTCTAAAACACACATTTTTCAAAACACTACACACAATTTTCTGCATTTGGCACAATTTTCATGAAGAAAATCCTTTGTTTTCACAAGGAACACACTGTTATTCAAAACTCAAAAAATTAACTACCCTGCTATGCACACTGATTCATCACATGGGCAAACACCTGTCATATAGTTTTTACAATTAGCGATCAGAGCTTTAGCATAAAAGGGCAACAGGTGAGGTCTTCTGTTTAGGAGTAATGGATGCCAACATTGGAAACAGTGGCAGAGCCAGAGGAATGAGAGTAAGAGGAGGAGGATGGGAGGATGAGGAAGGCCTGGGACCATAATCTCTGATGAGATCCGAGCCACTTTGGTCGACTGTAGTCAACCATGGTCTAACAATGAGGGAGGCTGGGCAAAGAGGACAAACAACTTTGAGCAGGTACACTGTAGCATCCATCGTCCAGAATTTCAGAAATCAGAATAGATAAGAAATCTACTCTCACTGGAAAACTGCAGTACTGCATTCAGTACTCGGTGAGTACAGTAGTACAGTATTGCCTTTGGACTGTTCTGTAGGATAGTTAAAATGAAGTATGAAAGAGGAGTTGGCAAATAATGTACAGTAGTACAGTAGAAGTAAAATAAAAAGTGTTGGAAGTCAAGTATTTGGAAAATGTATTCCTACTTTGTTTTCCTACACAGTACAGTAGTCCTTCGTTTATCGCGGGTGTTCGGGACCACGCCCACCCGCGATAAGTGAAAAAATGTGAAGTGGGATACAATAGTTCAAGTTCAATTCAAGTTCAGTAAACTTTGTCATGTTCCAGGCTGTAATCGCACTCAATCATCACCTGCTACTCCCAATCTCCCTCCTTAAAATAAAAAATTTAAATTAAATACTGTAACATTCTAAATCAACTATCCACACAGCATGGATGGTTTATGTAAAATATTACGGTATTTAAATTTTAATTGTAGAGAAGAGACGTGCAGCAGGACATCAACAGGATGTCACACAGCGTCAGCTCTGCAGCACGGAGCCGAAATGTACTTCTTGATCAATTACACTTCAACAACTGAACATAGAAGGTCCAAAATAATTAAACACTTTTATTTTGTGATTATGATGATTTTTTTACGATGTGACACACTTTGAATTTTAAGTTGAAAGACAAAAGTCGAGCGGTGCATCTGGACAACAAAGGGTTAACCCTTCACAAAGCAGCAGCAGGAGAAAAGTCAAGTCAAGTCAGATTTATTTATAGAGCACATTTAAAACAGAAACTGTTACCAAAGTGCTTAACAAAAATATTACAACATCAAATAAAAAGTAGCAAGATATATTTACAGCAAATGTGTATGCGTGGCAGATAAGGAAATCAGCTGATCAGCTGCAGGAGGGAGCTTCCACTTGCACTTGTGGGCTTCACACAAGGTGTAAAATCATTTAAAATCATTTATTTTAAATAAACAACCCATCATGGCTCATCCATCAATCAGCCAATTGTCTCATGTCCAATCTTATTTTGAAAGTCTGCGATACATAGCAAACCCGCGATAAACGAATCGCGAAGTAGCGAGCGACTACTGTATTTACAGTATTTTGCTATTTGTATTGCAGAACTGAAAGATTATCAACACAAAGTAGACGGGAACGTCTTCTGTCTCATGAACAGGAAACTGGAATCATGAGGTCCTAGAAAATAACACCATAACGTTACGGCAAATACAAAGAATTATAATAGAAAACAATGAAATATTTCAATATATTGATAGAGTAAGCTTATCACCATTGGATATGTCTTTCACAGAAATAATCCGAGTATGAAACATAGTTTTTATGTTTTTACTGTAACTGTAAACAGTAAATTCTTGATTTATGTGCAGACCACTGAATTGCAACTTTGTGTTGGTTGGGATGTACACTGTGTACATTGCGTTTGTGGGCAAAAAATAAAATAAAGTAGTCCCTCGCAACTTGGCGGTTCGTTTTTCGCGGATTCGCTATATCGCGGATTTTCAAAATAAGATTGGACATGACACAATTGGCTGATTGACAGATGAGCCATGATGGGTTGCTTATTTAAAATAAATTATTTTAAATGATTTTGCACCATGTGTGAAGCCCACAAGTGCAGGGGGAAGCTCCCTCCTGTAGCTGATTTCTTTCTCTGCCACACACACATTTCTCCTGCTGCAGCTTTGTGAAGGGTTAACCCTTTGCTGTCCAGATGCACCGATCGACTTTTGTCTTCCAGCTTAAAATTCAAAGTGTGTCACATCGTAAAAATCATCATAATCACAAAATATAAGTGTTCCAAGTTATTTTTAGTTGTTTTGGAACTTCTATGTTCAGTTGTTGAAGTGCAATTGATCAAGAAGTACATTTCTGCTCCGTGCTGCAGAGCTGAAACTGTGACATCCCGTTGATGTCCTGCTGCACTTCTCTACAATTTAAATACCGTAATAATTTAAATTAACGATCCATGCTATGTGGATTGTTGATTTAAAATGTTACAGTTTTAAATTTAAATTGTTTATCTAAGGAGGGAGATTGGGAGTAACAGGTGATTGAGTGTGATTACAGCCTGGAACATGTCATGACAAAATTGACTGAACTTGATGACTACTGTATCCCTACGTGGTCCCAAACACCAGTGATAAACGAGGAACTGATGTATATTTATTACCGCTTGTGTGTTCCAAGTATAAAAACAATATTCTAAATATTTTACAACACACTTGTGTGCTATCTGTAGTAAGTCTAACACTGAACAAAATAGGGTCTAAGTCATTATAATGATTGGAGAATAAGTGTTTTTCATTCATCATTTCAGTGTTCAACTGGTTCTTATCAACGCTTATTCATGATGGTTTGCGTTTCATCTGAGAGCAAAATACCATTTTGAGAAGAGATAACGTGGTTTTGAAAGTAAAGCTTCATTTTGAAGAATTGAGTTTTTCAGTGTTTTTTTTTTTTTTTAACTGAGAGCATGCTTTCAGAAAACTGTGTAAACATCTGAGAAAAACTGTAAAATAAATGTTGGAAACCATTAAAATTTCCTTATTCTATGATTTGGTTTATAAACCTGTACTAATGATGGGGAAAATGAATCATTGTCTGTTGAACAATGCAAGGATGCTGGGAAATCATCTTGCAAACTAATCTTCACAATCTTTTCAGTCCGTGAACGTCACGCGGCTGTAGACTCAACTCTTACAGCAAACTGAACTAAACAAATGAGTTGGACACTCAACATGATGGGGTGATATTTTTGGGGAACACTGAAAGGCCTAACTGGGTGTTATTTAGTTTTTCATGTTAGGATGAGCTGCAGCCATCTGAGCTGTGGGAAGACTTCCAATTTAAACTTTTGGTGAGGGGGTGGAAACTGTCGCAGCAGCTGAAGTTGTGTAACACCTTTAAAAAATCCACTTGTGTTATTTATGACTGCTCAAATGTCTGTTTTCTGTTTACTATTAATCCACAGCAACTTACAACGGTAAAGTCTCTGGGAAAAAACAGATACAGGACCAGTTAAGTTTTTTTCTTGCTCTTTATTATTTTGAAAGCTGTTCTGATTTGTTTTATGAAAGTTAAAAAGATGCCTCCATGACTTTTAAAACAGGTTTTTATTTTGACTCCAGCTCAGTTCTGACAGGCTTCAGGCACTCGCTTGCAATTAGAACCCAAAAACAAGCTTCATCTTGCTCAAGATAAAGTGATTTTTTGAAGTCGGTTCGGTTTTATTCAACAAAAATTGAGCAAAAAGCAGGTTAGCGAGGATACTGTACTGATAAAATGGTAACTAAAACCCAACAAAAAGTGCCTACTTTGAAAACCATCAATTAGACAAAACTTTCATTAGCAAACAGATCAGCTAGAAAAGAAAATTGACGTTCACATTTTCATGACGCAAACCTAAACCTGAAGTGAATTACGACTGAAGCAACTCGATGGAAATGTCCCCAAAGAAACAAAACGAATCAAAACTGGTGAAGTAGAAGACGAAACCAATACACAAACAAGGTTCCATCTTTCAAACCAGTTCGCTCTAAAATGCCTTTGATTTGGCAACAGTGAAACTATTCCCATGGTGACGACACGAGTGCTTCTGGCAAAGTCCTGAGCCACAGACTGACAAGTCCCGAGTCTGACCCGTCCTCTCAGCACAGGTTGTTCAGTTCCTTCAGTGTCTTATCACCTCTCGAGCTGAGAACAGGAGCTGTGAGACTGAACAGTTCTTGGACAAGTTGTATAGTGATGAGGGAGCAGGCAGAGTGTGAGACGCACTCAAAGCAGCAGGTTTTTAACTAGTTGGGCACCAGCTGCTTCATGCAGTGAGGCGGGTAGAGTCTGTTTGACTGCCCTCGCGCTACTGCTGCTCCTCCTCGTGAGCCGGGCCCCGGCCTGGTGTTTCATCCTGAGCCTGTGGCTCAGCCTGGGCTTGTGGCTCTTCCTGAGCTGCTCTGGGAGGGGGTGGAGGGGCAGGTGGGCGAGGCGGCAGGATGATTTGGTGTTGGCGCTGTCGGTAGGCGATGACTGTGCCTAGCAGCAGGGCGATGACAGTCATGAGGTAGAGGTCCCACTCTGGGCCCAGAAGCTGGTCCAGGTCCACCTGATCAATCAGCTCATTCAGCTTACAGAAGTCACCACAGCCAGAATGGGAATAAAGGAGAAAAAAACAAGGCATTTGTGATCAATACCATTTATTTCTCTAATAAAGTTAGTCAGCTTGGTTTTCTGACCTCTTCCTATGCTGCTACAGCCTTCGACTACTGGAGGACAAACTGACCTCGTTTATCTAATGAATAGTTTGTATTTGTAATTATTCTTTCTTAGCATTTGGTTTCTGTCTTTTTGTCGATCCTCTTAGTGAAAAACCAGATGGCCTCCATCCTGGACCTGCCATTGTGTGTCCGTTTCTCCTTCCTGTGCTCTCGGGCACAGCCGGCTGAAGCGGATGGCTGCTAGACCTGAGCCTGGTTCTGCTGGAGGTTTCTTCCTCATGAGGGAGTTTCTCCTTTCCACTGTTGCATCTGTGCTCACTTAGGATGGGAGACTGACGAAGTGAAAACTTGAAGCTGGCTCCTTAGATAAATATTATTAACTGACTTATGTATATGAATGTTTCTGTTCAGATGAATTCTGTTGTGATTTGGCACTATATAAATAAACTGAACTGAACTGAAAGTAGTTTATAAAAAATTAAAGAGCAACCTAAAATGTTATTTTAAAACAAAACTGTTGGTGAGAAGGTACTTACATTAAAATCTTGCAGGTACTGTAGCGTGTAAACCAGGCCCAGCTTGCACAGGGCCAGGAAAACTGGCACCTGAGCATCAGGACTGGCTTCAGCTGCCATGTCATAGAAGCGCTTGGCTAAATGGATATCCTGCAGAAAATCCAGCAGAACAAATCAGGAGTTACAATCACAGATTCATACCTGAATGTAGAGTTGCATTCGGGTCCGAAATATCCGACCCGACCCGGCTCCAACCCGTAGCCATCATTTCCAAACCCCACCCAATCTGACGAATTAACAGTAATTACAGGTCCGAACACGAAAACCCCACTGACATTTTTAATTAAGCGCTGATATTAGCGCCTCTTGTCGGAGAAGAATAATAAAAAAAAAGAAAAATAATAAACAGCACAATTACAATAGGCCTGCTTAACGGTTGGCGGACGCGCGTGGCTGAACAAAAAGGGGCAGAAGATCGGAGCTGAGGGGTGTTTGTCCTTTCATGGCTGTCAAAGTGCATTAAGTCCCTGCTTCTGCTGCATTCTGCGTTATTCAGACACGTACCCTGCTCTGACATGTTGGATATTTTGTGATCTCACCTGTTTGGGTCGTCGGCCGCGCGTGTCCACGGAGTGTAGCGGCTGAATGTCCATTTGGTCAGATGGATTACTGGTAAGAGTCCATCTGAAGCTTAACTGAATGGTTTTCCTCTTTCAAGGCCGGTCAGCACGCAGTGAAATGGCCCCATGTGGTTGGTGATGGTAAATTTAATTGGATCGTCCGCCGACGCAATAAAAAGCCAGACACTGGCCTGGCCCGCACATTATTATGGACCGGCCCGGCCCTAGTCTGTGTCGGGCGGAGCTGGGCTCCGGGTTCGAAATGACAGCTCTACCTGAAGGTAAACTCGTAATCAAAGTAGCGGCTCACCTGTTTGATTCCCAGGCCTTTCTCATGCATGTAGCCCAGGTTAAACATGGCCTGGGCTCCATTCTGCTGCTCTGATGCCAGTCTGTAGTGAATGACAGCAGTCTCGTAGTCCACATCGGTTCCATATCCGTAGAAGTGATAGTCGCCTAGTTTTATCCTCGCCACAGTGTAACCTTAAAGCAAAAGGTACGTGTGAAGTTTTCAAACAGTAGAACTTCTACTGGGACCTTGAGTACACAATTTCGTTCCACCTCATGTACCACATGTGATGCGAATGACAATAAAGAACCTTGAACTCTATTCCTGAACTAGTTTTCTACAGCTTTATAAACTACTTAGCATGCTGTGACACTATTCTGTATTCCTGCTGATCCATTCAGTAAAGGAGGTGGGGTTGTGAAAGTGTTTTTACTTAGACCAGTCTTCTCAGGCAGGTCTGTTAATCATCTGATCAAATCAGCAACCACACAAACAGCTACAGCACACACAGAACTGGAGGATTTTCAGTGTCAACGTATCTTTGAGCCAATCAGAACATGTGTAGCACAAGACGTCTTTGGGTGACAATTTTGGCAGTCTGGTGAATTAAAACAGGCTCATTCAGTGCTTTGCTTTTCTACAATTTTCAAACAATATATATTCACCCTTTCTATATTGTCATTAATACAAGTTCATACTCTCATTCACAACAATAAGCATTTTGACAAGCAAAGGAGGAATCTTGCTCAAGGGCACTTTTTAATTCGATCCCACCTGCACTCCAACTGATCGTGCAGACCCACAGAAAGCAAACATAAAAATCCAAGTTTTGAGTTTTCTTATTAACTCTTAATGGAATCCTGACGGCAAAGAAGGTCAACATGTGGAAAATATACTCTGCACACGTTAAAATTACAAGGACAAACTGAGCAAGGGCTCACCTTGTGCTGCAGCTCTCGTCCAGTGGAGTAAAGCCCGAGGGTAAGTCTCATTCTCACTGAAGATCCTCACTCCTTCTGTTTGTTAAAATCCAGAGACAAAACATTTCAACCAGATGTTCAGACGTATAGTCTCACAATAACCTGGCAACAACAAAAAAATAACATGGTTGTCTTACTTTGGTCCAGAATGAAGGCGACGTTGCTCTGAGCTACTTCATAGCCCTGCTCTGCCAGCAGCAGGTACTGAACCAGCGCAGCGTCCGTCTCGCCCTCTTTAAAGCTGCCGTAAGCCATCATCAGACGTTCTGACCAGCGACCACGCTCACACACGTTCTTAAAAAGCTGCAACCAGGACAAACGCAGCATGACACACTATATTAAATATTTTTATTAAAATATGCCAGCTAACATCCTCCAAATTCCAAGTTAAACCATTAGAATGAGCTTCCGTTCAGTGACTTACCTCCACTGCAGTGTGGCAGGAGCGCATCACACCTGTACCTGTAGCATGCATCTGTGCCAGGTTGTAGAAAGCCAGGATGTGGCCCGCCTGGGAGGCCAGGTTGAAGAATTTAAGCGCCTGTTTGTAATCGCGCTTGACACCAATGCCATCTGAAGAAGAGGAAGTAAATATACTGTTGTGATTTAAAACATAAAGGGATTGTTATGTGCACGTTTCCTCAACACTCACTGTAATACATGGTCCCCAGCTGCAGCTGGCCATCCACCCAGCCCTGCTCTGCTGCTTTCTGGAAGTATTTCAGGGCCAACTCGTAGTTCTGAAGGGAAAAAAAAAAAAAAAAACTAATTAAAATGACGTGTTACTTTACTATGATTAAAAGCCAGGTGTGCTTAATTACAAACGCTGTAGCAGATGTGTGTATAACAGGAAAAGGAAAACAAGTTTGTGACTATCAGTTTAAACTAGAGAAATTGAATTTCCTGTGAAAATGTAGTGTGAATGCTTATTGCTGAAGAACAGCTGAAATTAGCTAAAAAAAATGCTGAAATGTAGCTAAAATGGAAGAACAAACCTAACTTAGCAGAAGAAAGCAGAAAGAACACATATTTGCCAAACTAGGTTTAAATAAACAGAAATGAGCACAAAAATTAGGATATTACCCAAAGAAAGTTGAATTTAGCAACAAAAGAAAATAATAGATGAAAAGTAGCTGAAAAAGCAGAAAGGCGCTTCAACTACCAAAAGGACATGGAAGGAGCTGAAATGAGCACAAAAATGTGGAATTAGCTGAAAAACTAAATTTAGCAAAAAAACAAACAAACAGCTAAACAGTAGCTGAAATAGCATAAAAGCTGAAACTAGCAGAAAAAAGCTGAAAGGAGTATAACAAGCTGAAATTAGCAGAAAAAAAGTGAATTAGGCTGAAAGTAGCAGAAATTACCACGTAAATCTTGAATTAATCTGAAATTAGCTAAAAAATATTTTTAAAAGTAGCTGAAAAGGTAGAATAAGCTTAAAAAGCAGAAAGAAGATGTTTGCTGAAAGAAGCAGAAATTAGCCCAAACAGTGGAAATTATCTGAACAAAGTTGAAATTAGTAAAAAAAAAACTGCTGAAAAGTAGCTAATAAAGCAGAAAAGTTTCAATTACAAGGAGGACGTGGAGAAAGCACATTTTTTGCTGAATTAGGTTGAAAAAAGTTTTAACGAGTGCAAAAAATGTGGAATTAGCTGAAAAAGCTTAAATAAGAATAAAAACAGCTATAGAGTAGCTGAAATAGTAGTAAAAGGTGAAACTTGCAGAAATAAGCTGAAAGGAGCATAACAAGCTGAAATTAGCAGAAATAACTAGAAGCACAAAAATGTTCTAGTCAGCAGAAAGAATCTGAAGGGAGCACAAAACAGCTGAAAAAAAATAGCTGAAAGTAGCTGATAAAAGTTTAAATTTGCACAAGGTAGCTGAAAGAAGCTGAAGAACGTTTTGATTTAGGATTTGTTGAAATAGCTTGAAAACAGTGGGATGAGAATCGTGCCAAAAAACGTACAGAAGAAAAATGGACCACAACAGTGTAAATGATTCATAAACATTCACACAATGAAATGAATTAAAACAGTCCCTTACCACTGGGACACCCCGTCCATATAAATAGGCCATGCCCAGGCCACTCTGACCCACTGGATTACCCTAAAAATAAAAATAAGTTTTAGTTTTCCAAACATTTATTCACCTTCAACACAAATACCGTACATAGTACTCAAAGAAAGGAAATCTGTACTCATCAGAAATGCTTCACTGCGCACTAATACAAGAATTAAAAAGTTAATGATGCACTTGAGATGCGTCTTTTCCATCTTTACCATATCAGAGGCCTTCTTGAAGTACTGCAGGGCTGTCTCGTTGTCCTGTGGGAGAAACTCACTGCCCTCTGAATACATCTGAGGAGAAAATATTTACAGAACAAAAAAAAATCACATGCTTAAAAATCTTTTTTTTTTTAATAAGTCAATGCCAAATTATTGGCTTTATTGTTTATGAAATAAAAACCATTTGTAGTTCAAATATTTACGAACAGCAAAGAAAGATACAAATCAAAAACACAATCCAACTTTAGAGAACATTACTGTAAGAACATTATTCATTCTACAAGTTGACTAAAAATAAAAATCAAGATGCATAAGAAATAAAAAGACGAGTCTTCGGAGAACTAATGAACCTCCTCTTCCTCACCTTGCCGAGGAAAGCCATGGCGTGTGTGTTTCCAGCGTTTGCAGCCTGTGTGAAGTAGTCGTACGCCCTCTGATGGACAGGAAGCAGAACGAACTCATTCAGCAGAGCGAGATGACGTCAGAACACCAGACAGGGCAAACGGATATAAAACATTACCTGGTGATTCTGTTCTACTCCTCGTCCACCATGCAGGTGGAGCTGACCTAAACCCACCTATCAATGAGCGCAGGAGGCAAATATGTTCAACAGAACAACCAGAAATGGTTTGAATTAAAAATATAAGAAACATTTCAGTTATATCCAACATCTGAATAATGAGTAAATACTGTCCTTACACAAATAAATACAAAAAAGTGTTTTTTTGTTTCAAACTGCTTCCTCTTTATGTAATTACACAGATAACATTAAATTAAAAAGCCAGACAGAAAGGTGAGGGACACTGTTGAACCATTTTACCTGAGCTTGGACATCTCCTTTCTCAGCCAGAAACTGGTAATACTGGATTAGGTCCTCCTCCAACATCCCACTGGTGGAACCTGGGTTTTCCACCTCGTCCAGAAGTCTGATCCTCTGCACTGCCGAGCCGCCGGTCAGGGACACGTCACTGGCCACTAAAGATGAAAAACAAGACAATTTAAGATTCGTTTTACTTAACAGGTGTATGTTTTTCCAGTAAGCACAAATCAAAAGAAGAATAAGAAAAGTGCTTACCGTGATTTGCAACAAGTCTATAATGAGTTAGTGCTGACTCGCAACTTTGAGGAACTCCCACACCTGACCAGTACCTGTAGCCCTAATAAAAATATAAGATTTAATGTTTACTGATATTGTAGAAACGTCTGACAATACAGCAATTATATGAACTCACCAGAATCATGTGAGCTATTAGGTTTCCCCCCAAAGCACCAAAGGTGTAGTAAACTAAAGCCTGAAAAACAGAACACGAGTTACGCCTTGAGGTTAAAATGATTGAAAGAAAGATGCAAAGTAAAGAAAATACCTTTGCTTGACTTGAGTTAACTCCAAGTCCTGCTGCATATAGAAAGCCAAGGGCCTAAAGAAAAGCAAACATAGCTTTACACTGTGCACTGTCTGCAGATTCACTGTTTTAGAAAGTGATGATTAAATATAATGAGGGTTGTACCATCTGAGCTTTAGGTGAGCCCTCCGTGGCAAGTTTCTCAAACATTTCTCTGGCCTTTGTGACATTTTGGCTTATGTAGTCTCCAAACAGCATGGCGTACGCCACCTTCTCTGTGGCTTTTTGGTGGCCTTTCTCTGCCACCTTCAGCAGCTTTTCATACAACCTGAGAGAAGTCATAAGCAGAGATGACTTAGCTGGAGTTAGGCAAAACAAATGCAATAAATAAAAGGATGTGAAATCACGTAAGCAGCCTGTGTCAAAGCAGAAATAGACATTTTTCCTAACACCAAAACCACAAGTAAGGAAATGCACTCTAAGGAAGAAACTGACTCCTTTTTCTGAGTCCTTCTGGTGGAGACATTGAGCATGTGTACAACTGTCTGATACTGCTGCTCAGCCTCTTCAGCCTGTAGTCTCTGCTGGGCCTGCTCCTCCGCTAAAACAAACAAAGAGACGCACACAACAGAGAAAAGAGGTTTTAGACACTGGTTGACAAAGTCATCTGGCTCGTTTACCTGGAGTCCTGAAACCTAAAAGTATTTTTTAATTACTGAACATTTTCACCCAAAACATTATAACAGATTTTTTTTTTCCCAGGTCTCTCAACTGTTCAGCCAATAAAGTATTGCACTGAAAAGCTTATGGATAAGATTCATAAAGAAACATTAATCTTTACAATGATCTTTAAGTTCAAGATTTATGACTTGATTTGCCACTGAGATACAACTAGACAAGACCAGAAGCAAGAAGTTGAAGCCATAAAGACTGATGCCCCCTAGTGGCTGAATGAGGTACAGTTTTAATGTAACCTCTCCATTTAACCTTCTAGGACCTGGCATCCACATATGCAAGAGTCCAGGTCTTAGGAGGTTAAACAAATGGAAGTTTTCCTAACTAAGGAACAAAAAATACACAATAAATACCATTATCGAGGATTTAAACCAGTGTTTCCCCTCCCATCATACAAGCAGTGTGCCCTACCCTGTCTACAGAACCAAGCGCCCTGCCTACCAAACAGACACACACACACACACACAAACCCCCCGCTCAGCACTGACAGCACTAAGCTAGTAGTACGCAATACATACAAGATCTATATAAACAGCGCAGCACAGATATGTCACCGCCCCAATCCCCCCAAGCGACAAAAATCTTGGAAGATACGAGCGCCCTCACATTAGGTCAGGCTATCTAGCAGCCTAGCCTGGATGAAGACTTACTCCGAGCTCGCTGATGTCATAGATGTCACAAGGTACAAGTTCAGCTATCTTCGGGGGCCGAGATGGGGTAGAGGTAGGGCAGCTGACCTGAGACCAGAAACTCACGGATCGACTCCCAGCCATTCCCACATGTCAGTGTCTTTAAGCAAGACACCCAATCCCTAATTGCTCCCCGGGCACTTGCATACAGTGCCTTGCAAAAGTATTCGTCCCCTTGAACTTTTCAACATTTTGCCACATTTCAGGCTTCAAACATAAAGACATAAAATTTTAATTTTTTGTGAAGAATCAACAACAAGTGGGACACAATCGTGAAGTGGAATGAAATTTATTGGATGTGTCAAACTTTTTTAACAAATAAAAAACTGAAAAGTGGGGCGTTCAATATTATTGGGCCCCTTTACTTTCAGTGCAGCAAACTCACTCCAGAAGTTCAGTGAGGATCTATGAATGATCCAATGTTGTCCCAAATGACTGATGATGATAAATAGAATCCACCTGTGTGTAATCAAGTCTCCGTATAAATGCACCTGCTCTGTGATAGTCTCAGGGTTCTGTTCAAAGCGCAGAGAGCATCATGAAGACCAAGGAACACGCCAGGCAGGTCTGAGATACTGTTGTGGAGAAGTTTAAAGCCGGATTTGGATACAAAAAGATTTCCCAAGCTTTAAACATCTCAAGGAGCACTGTGCAAGCAATCATATTGAAATGGAAGGAGTATCAGACCACTGCAAATCTACCAAGACCCGGCCGTCCCTCTAAACTTTCATCTGGAACAAGGAGAAGACTGATCAGAGATGCAGCCAAGAGGCCCATGATCACTCTGGTTGAACTGCAGAGATCTACAGCTGAGGTGGGAGAGTCTGTCCATAGGACAACAATCAGTCGTACACTGCACAAATCTGGCCTTTATGGAAGAGTGGCAAGAAGAAAGACATTTCTCAAAGATATCCATAAAAAGTGTTGTTTAAAGTTTGCCACAAGCACCTGGGAGACACACCAAACATGTGGAAGAAGGTGCTCTGGTCAGATGAAACCAAAATCAAACTGTTTGGCCACAATGCAAAACGATATGTTTGGCATAAAAGCAACACAGCTCATCACCCTGAACACACCATCCCCACTGTCAAACATGGTGGTGGCAACATCATGGTTTGGGCCTGCTTTTTGTGAGCAGGGTCAGGGAAGATGGTCAGAATTGATGGGAAGATGGATGGGGCCAAATACTGGACCATTCTGGAAGAAAACCTGTTTGAGTCTGCAAGAGACCTGAGACTGGGACGGAGATTTATCTTCCAACAAGACAATGATCCAAACATAAAGCCAAATCTACAATGGAATGGCTCACAAATAAACGTATCCAGGTGTTGGAATGGCCAAGTCAAAGTCCAGACCTGAATTCAATCGAGAATCTGTGGAAAAAGCTGAAGACTGCTGTTCACAAACGCTCTCCATCAACCTCACTGAGCTCGAGCTGTTTTGCAAAGAAGAATGGGCGAAACTGATAGAGACATACCCCAAGAGACTTGCAGCTGGAACTGCAGCAAAAGGCGGCGCTACAAAGTATTAACGCAAGGGGCCCAATAATATTGCATGCCCCACTTTTCAGTTTTTTATTTGTTAAAAAAGTTTGACACATCCAATAAATTTCATTCCACTTCACGATTGTGTCCCACTTGTTGTTGATTCTTCACAAAAAATTAAAATTTTATATCTTTATGTTTTGAAGCCTGAAATGTGGCAAAAGGTTGAAAAGTTCAAGGTGGCTGAATACTTTCACAAGGCACTGTAGGTGCCCACTGCTCCACCTGAGTGTATCTCATGTGCAATGCGTTAAATGCAGAGAACTAATCTCATCGTTGTATGAAAACATACAATGATGACAATTTCAGACTTCCCTTCCCTTAAACTACAATACTTCAAATAAGAACAAATGCCCAACTATTTTAAATATTTAGTTGAAGACAGATTGTCAGAATTTAGGTTTAGTTTTTAGCTTTTAAATTATATATTGTTGCTGTATGCTACATCTGCTTTGTGTTTAGCTTTACAGAGTGTGAGATGATAAAAGGAAAACTTACTCTCACAGAACCCCCACATCTTATCCTGGTCATAGCTGTAGGTTGTGGCACACCACAGCCGTCCATCCCCCCGTCCATCAGTGGTACAGTCCGAGTACTCTTTGTCTCGGAAGACAAACGGGAAAATACAAGGCTCTCCATGAGAGGTGCCTCCGTTCACCAGAGGAACTGAAAATAAAAATATAGAGAAAAATAAATAAATAAAAAGAAACGTGCTATGCTAAAAGTAATTTTATTTTACAACACAGGCTTTAAATCGTGTGGCTACATTTTATCCATTTCAAATTATTTATTTTCTTAACGTGACAAAACACGTTTTTAGGAACAAACAAGCCCTGAGTAAAGTGATGTAACGGACTGCAATAAAGGCCACAGGTGCAAGACGCTGATAATCTCTCAAGGGATTCAACCGTTCACCCAAAATAAAATTATAACTGAAACCACTTAGTTCAGCACTGGCAAGAGAACAAACTGGTCAGCATGTTAAGCTCACCAAAAGGTAAAAGGAAAAAAATACAAGAGGAGAAATTCTTCTGTTCAGCAAAACATCAGCACTCAAGAGACATTCTCATGTCAGATAATCACAGCTGCAGCACGGGGAACCACTGCGTCTTCATGCAGTTTCATATGAAAGATGCTACACATTTTAAAATTCAGACTGATGCCACTGATGAAATAAAAAAATAAATAAAAAAGAAACTGTCCAGATGACCTGACTGAAAATTGTTGCACTGATGAAATGTTTTTTTTTTTTGCAAACACTTTACACACTGAAATCAAAAGCCTTTCATTTTTAACTGATAAAGCAATTAACCTTATTTCAAAACAAAAATCATAAAAAATGAATTTAGAAATAGCCTTAAAAACTGTATAGTCTGCCCAAAACTACAATCTCACTTTTTCACAGCCAAACCAATCAGATACCAAGCAGGTCTTCTCAATAACACAGTTATTATAAAGAATGACATTTTAGGGTTGTCATAAATAGTTTTATTCACTGGTAATTGTTCATTCTGTGGGAAGTGGTGTTCTAATTTCTATACAAACCCATTTATCATAAAAAGTTCAAATTAAATACGTAGTTTATTTTTGTGACTACAAGGCATGAACAAACCTTCTTTTGGTTTCTCCACAATAGGAGGTGGCTGTTCAGGCAGCTCCTCCTTGTCTTCTGCCTCTTCAGGTGACGGTTTCTCCTCCTCGGTTTGAGAGACTTCCTGACGAGAAGTCACAGCTGCACCGGCCACGATTTTTGATGTAAAGCGATCATCGTCCTCTTCAGACTCTGGGTCATGGTAGGACTAACGACAAACAGAAAGTTAATACAAAGAAATAAAACAAACTGCATCAAATATTTAATGAATGCACATGATGGGGGGTTATTTTTTTGCTACTTGATTTAAAATAAAAACACTTTATTTTTGTAACTAAACATGATGCATCAGCCTGATATAATTTACTGTAATGTGAAGGTTATTTAATACATATTTTTTTCATTTATCATTCGAACCTACAAACTTTAAGTTTGTTACTAATGACAGAATTGGGGACAAAATGGATGACACAAGTGCAACGGAGTTGCATATATTTTTGCAAAGTCATTTTCCTGTACATGTTTTAACTACTAAAGAAGAAATAAACAAATGAAACTATATACTTTATTTGCAACTCACATTTAGCCAGCCTAAACGTTTGATCACTTTAAAATCAACACCAAAGTACAAAGCAAGATCTGAAAGCATTTCATTAAAAAATATACACTATCAAAAAGTGTTAGATGTGTTTTTTTGTTTTTTCCCGCCTTTCGGCTGCTCCCTTCTTCAGGGGTCGCCACAGCGAACTAAGTTGCATGAAGACTTAGCAATTATTTTTACACCGGATGCCCTTCCTGATGCAAACACAGAGCTACCACAGCCCTCTGTGTGGAGCAGAGAGCTGCCATGTAGGGTGCCCGGGGGAGCAGATGGTGGGGTTAAGGGCCTTGCTCAAGGGCCCAGAGTGGGGCAAATGAGAGTGGAGGCAGGTGTGGATGCTCCACCTATCCCACCCATATTTTGATGTTGTCGGCACCAAGAGTTGAACCGGCAATCAGGCCCACCTTCTCTAACCTCTGTGCCACCACTTCCCAAAAAGTGTTAGAAGTATGACTTTGAATTTATGTGTTGTTATTAAGAGAATAGTGTCATGATGCGTCAGCCAGTGTGTTTCAGCCACTGTACAGCTACTCTCAAAAATGGGGCTCTTTTAGGTTTTGAAACCAGCCTTTCAATTTCACATATTCACTCCTTTGCAAACCTACTTTGAACATACATATTTGTAGAGAAGGGATTTGTTGCTCAAAATTTTCAATAGATGTATCCAGTACAAGTCAAAATTTGCATTTATTTTTATTTAAAAAGATTAAATTTCTACAGTACTGTGCAGCTCTTGTAGATAATTGAAAACTACAAGAAATAAGGATTCAAAACTATATTACACAGGCATTGCATTGCAAAGAACAGCAAATAATGATCTTAAGAAACATATAAACTCGTCATGGGATATCATATAAAGACATATGTCTCACCTTTAAATCTGATCCGTCGTTCTTGTGCTGATCTTCATCTGCAAATAACAGTGGGGCAGTAGATACCGTTAATTAAAATAGCAAAACGATTTCCTTGCAGCTACTAGCAACAGTTAATCGCTCCAAGCTTTGTGAAAGTATAACAAAAACATCCACAGGTAATACTTACCAGCTGTTAATCCTTTGACAGAAACTATGAGAAGAATGGACACAAAATAAAGCGCTCGGGCTGTCTTTAAGCCTCTTTTACAACCCATTGTTGTCAAGCTAACCATCTGCTAGCTGCGGCTATTTATACCACCACACATTCAGTTACAGCCTAGCAGTCAACTCATAGAAAAAAAGTTAAACGAACTCCAACATGCAAACCTGAGAAAACCGTTCCAACCGGAACCGAACTGATTAATTTTAGTCACCTTAGCTGTCAAAACCAGCTAACAAACCCAGTAGAGTAGAACAGCTGGTACGACGCTAAGCTAACAGGCTAGTTTTAGACAACCAAATAAAACTGGCAAAACGGCTAACTATATGCACGAGACGCAACGTATTAGTTTCAAAACAAATTGTAAAGTACCTGTGGACACGCTACAACATTTAAACTATAAAACACTCTCCGTAAAAATAATTTAGATTATACAGTATACACATACTACTTAACGTAGCTACTCATAAACCTCTCTCAGGGACACTTCTTACTGTGGAGATTCCACCAATCAGAACGCGCGCAGCGTGACAATAGCCAATCAGACAACGCCAAAGGTCTGTTAGCCAATCAGATGAATACACAGTTATATTTCCTGGCGATGGGCTTGCCCACGACACCAAAACATGAAGATAACGTCACTTTCAGTTACGTCACTACATCTGAAACGTTAGTTCTTAAAGATAACGATAAATAACAGGGGGAAAAAAAGCTAAAACCCACTAAACATCTTGTTTAAAATAAAGGACAAATGCGTAATGGGCATGTATAAAAGTGTTAAATTTTCTTGTTAGATGTTTATGCAAACATCTCCAATTTTGAGACTTTCAATATAATTATAATAATAATAATAATAATAATAATAATAATGAATAAATAAATAAATAATATGCTAATGGTAATGGTAAAATTGGTCATTTTTTTAATAATTACAAATTAATAACAACAGTGTGCAACATTTTTATTTATTGATAGTTTTAAGGAATGTCTTTAAAAGTTTGACTTTTTCTTGATGGATACACTTTGCTTCAGAAGTATTGACAAACACCAGACGTTTCAGTTTTATTCCAAAAAGTATATTGCTTTATGCTTCTTATTAAACATGATAATATGTCATTTAGTTTCTTTTAAAACCATGACAGAATGGATTTAATTTGGCAGCAGAATTTTTTTTTTTATTTGTGTGTTTTGGTTGCTAAAATTGACACATAAATCTCTGACTTCAGTATCATAAATGAATAAAACAAAACTTTTGAACTTAGCTTAATCACATTTCTCAATATGATCTGCAAGTGAGTTTCGCTCTGTTGCTCCCTTCTTCAGGGGTCGCAACCTGATGCTACCTGGGCTTGAACCAGCATTACAAGACAGCAGCCCTGCAATATGATCTGCAAGCAGAGTGTGTATCTAAACTAGACTTCATTAAACTTGTTTTATTTTTAACAAATTAACACAAATCCTGAATCTTAGTTTAAATGACCAGCCATGATTTTTATTTACAGCTGATACTGCAGCACTAGATGTTAATAAAAATAAATTAATTAAAACTTAACATTATTCCTGTCTCTATACCTTTACTTCTCTCTGTTCAGTTATGTTGTTCAGTGTTCTGTTTTAAGATCCTTCTTCTTCCAGCTTTTCCCTCTTCAGGGGTCTCCACAGAAAGTCATCCTCCTCCATCTCACTCTGTCCTCACTCCAATTTTCTCCATGTTCTCTCTAACTGCATCCATAGATCTCCTCTTTGTCTTTTTCCTGGCAGCTGCATTTCCAACATCCTTCTACCAATATACCCACTGTCCCTCCTCTGGACATGTCCAAACCATCTCAATCTGACCTCCCTAACTTTATGTCCCAGTTGTTCAACCTGTGCTGTACCTCTGATGATCTCATTCCTAATCTTATCCATCCTTGTCACTCCTAAGGAGAAACTCAACATCTTCATTTCTGCCACTTCCAGATATTTCTCCTGTCTTTTTGTTGACCCACTGTCTCCAGACCATACAACATAGCTGGTCTCACCACTGTCTTGTAAACTTTTCCTTTGACCTTTGTTGACACCCGTTTGTCACAAATCACTCCTGAAACGTTTTTCCATCCACTTCATCCTGCTTGGACTCTTTTTCACCTCTTTACCACATTCCCCATTTTCCTGGCCAGTGGACCCCAAGTACTGGAAGTCCTGCACCTTTGTGACCTCTGCTCCTTGTAGCCTCACTGTTCCACCTGTCTCCCTCTCATTCACACACATGTACTCTACTTTACGCTGACTTTCATTCTTCTTCTTTCAAGTGCATACCCCCACCTCTCCAAGTTCTCTTCCACCTGTTCCCTGTTCTCACCACAGATCACAATCTCATCTGCAAACATCATAGTCCATGGGGATTCTTGCCTGACCTCATCAGTTAGTCGGTCCATCACCAGAGCAAACAAGAAGGGGCTCAGAGCCGATCCTTGATGCACTCCCACCTCCAACTTGAAGCTATCGGTCACTCCTACAGCACATCTCACCACTGTCCTGCTGTCCTCATACATGTCCTGTACCAGTCTAACATACTTTTCTGCCACTCCAGATTTCCTCACGCAATACCACACCTCCTCCCTCTGCACTCTGTCATATGCTTTTTCTAAATCCACAAAGACACAATGGAGTTCTTTCTGACCTTCTCACTACTTCATCAGCATTCTCAAAGCACAGATGGCATCTGTGGTGCTCTTTCTTGGCATGAAACCATACTACTGCTCACAAATAGTCACCTCTCATCTAAGTGTAGCTTCCACAACTCTCTCTCAGAACTTCATTGTGTGACTCATCAGATTAATTCCCCTGTAGTTGCTACAACTCTGTACATCACTCTTGTTCTTAAAAATGGACACCAGCAAACTTCTTATCCATTCGTCAGGCATTTTCTCACCCTCATATATGCCATTGAATATTTGAGTCAAAAACCTCACTGCCGTCTCTCCAAGTCATTTCTAAACCTCCACTGGTATGTCATCAGGTCCTACTGCCTTCCCCGTCTTCATTCTTTTCAGAGTTTTCCAGACTTCACCCTCACTAATATTTCCCACTCCCTGGTCCACATGACCTCTACTCTTCTTTCTCTTTCATTCCCTTCATTCATCAGCTCCTCAAAGTACTCCTTCCATCTTCCCGTCACACTCTCCTCACTTGTTAGAACATTACCATTCCTATCTTTAACAAGCCTAATCTACTGCACATCCTTTCCAGCCTGATCCCTCTGTCTTGCCAATCGGTACAAGTTCTTTTCGCCATCTTTAGTGCCCAGCCTTCCATACAACTCATCATACGCCTTCTGCTTTGCCTTTGCCACCTCCCTCTTTGCTCTACATTGCATCTCCTTATATTCCTGTCTCCTCACTTCAGTCCTCTCACTGTCGTGTTTTTTTCATGGCTAACTTTTCTTTGAATGGTTTCCTGCACTTCACTATTCCACCACCAGATTTTTTTATCTTCCATTCTCTGTCCAGATGACACACCAAGTACCTTCCTACCTGTCTCTCTAATTACTGTTGATGAAGTAGCCATCATTTGGCATCTCTACCATCCAGAACATTTAACAACTACTCTCTGACTTTCTTCAGCTTCCACCATTTGGTCTTCTCCAATTTTACTTTTTCTTTACCTCATGACAGTCATTCTAGACACAACCATCCAATGCGGTCTGGCCACGCTCTCACCTGTCACAACCTTACAGTCCCCAATCTTCCTCCGGTTTCTTCTTCTACACAGAACGTAGTCGATCTGCGTACTTCTTCCTCCACTCTTATAGGTCACTCTTATGTTCCTCCTTCTTTTGGAAATAAGTGTTGACTACACCCATTTCTATTTTCTTGGTAAAGTTCTGTTTTATTATCCATGTGCAATAAACGCAAAATATGCAAATATGTTAAACCTATATATTGTTTTTATTATACGTAGCTTCAAATACTTTTCTGCGCATTAATCTAGTACTACCGACAAGACATTATCCTCCAGTGTAAGCATTTAACTATACAGATCTAACGAACTAAATGTTTGGAAGGAGATGTTTTGTTTGAAGCCACTGAACAAACACTAGGAGATACTAAATTACTCTTTTAATGCATTGATGGAATTAACTGTAAAATATTATTTGAACTATTCTACTCTGTACAACCACTAAAACATACTGGTCTTCACATAGCACCACATTTAAATTTGTTTTACAGCGGATTGCTAAAATCGAAGCTGGAACTTGTCAAACTGACGCAAACATGTAATCACTCACACCAGAACATGTGGTAATTAATAACTGCATATTTATTTACAAACAGTCTTAGTGGTCATTTATTAGAAGGCAACAAGACATGATTTTGTGGGGGGTAAAAATCAAAGTAAACAAAAGAGAATGACCGTTTCAATATTGCAAATCATTCCTCAGATATTTAGGCCTCTGCATTTTTTCAGAGCAGAAGCGTTTGTAAAGTCTGACTTTTCAGTGTATTCAGTGTTTAATTTTATCTTCGGCAAACGGTTCAAACTGAAAGAAACTCCACAGAATTAGATAAGACATTGTTGAAAACTGAAAACACATGTGCCAATGAGAAACCATCTCTTGGTGGCAAAGAGCAGGCCCTATCAGTGTACGTGTACAGTGTCTGCCATCAGTGGGGAGGTTAAAAAATACAAGATTTAAAACACAATACGTGCAAATACATAATTTCATAGGACCATATAAAAAAACAGAAGATTATGCGTTTAAAACGTGCACTTACTAGCCCAACATATCATTAAAACAATTCAATCTTTGGTACAAAAAACTGCTAATTTTGACGTATATTATGTGAACCTGCACACACGCTATGATAGTATGTGTAAACATGTATATTTGCTATCTGTGCATCTTTATTGATTTTGTACATAAAGTCCCACAATAACACACTCAAACATCAATGGTTGAAAAAAACAAGTGTACAAGAGATGAAATGTACCTAAAACCATTTATGTTGTCATTGCACGCTCTGGCTATTCTGTAATCCTTTAAAGGTACTGAACAACAGTATATTTTTAATCTGTTTACAGCCAACATGTTAAAAATAACAAAAAGCAATAAATCACAGTACAGAAACAGGATGGATTCTCCCACCAGTGGATTTAGATTTAAAACAAGCTAAAAAGTGGTGTATTTTTAGTGAACATTTACATTCTTCAGCTAAGTGGTAATTGATGCCCAAAATTTAATTTAGCAGCATTTAGACAGCTTAAAGACAGAACGTGGAAATTATTTCCTTCCCTTTTAGTAGTTTTTTTTAATAACTGCCGCTGGACTCGGATGGATGTCAGGAACAAACAACATTTGCTACGTTAAAAAGTCCAAATGCATTCAAGGATGACAGAGCTGGCATGTGGCCTCGGCAGGACTCGGTGTTGATACGTTTCATCGCTGTATGGTTTTAATGACCCACTCTGCTGTCGGGTTCAGCTGGAAAAGGTCTTTCATATATGTTTCCCCATCGAGGCATCGCTCCTCTAGAAGAACAGACACAGAAAGGTAACAGCAGCAGCTCGTCTCAAATGCAGAATTAAATTCAAAATCTTACTTCTAACCTACAAAGCTCTCAACATCCTAGCTCCATCTTATATTAGAGATATTATTGTTCCATGTTTTCCTAACGGAGCACTTCGCTCTCAAATGGCAGGCTTACTTGCAGTTCCTAGAGTTTCCAAAAGCAGAATGGGAGGAAGATCTTTCAGTTATCAGGCTCCTCTCTTGTGGAACCAACTTCCAGTTTCTGTCCGTGAGGCTGACACATTGTCCAGTTTTAAGACTGAGCTTAAGTCTTTCCTTTTTGATAAATCCTATAGTTAGGGTTGGCTTGTTGTACTGTCAAGCTTAGACTACTGTAGGACAAATTGACCTCATTTCCTTAAATTAATTGTTAAAATTTAATAGTTTTATTTGAAGTTATTTATATCTGAACGTGATTCTTGACCTGCCATTGTGTATCTGTTCCTGCTTCCTGTTCCTCTCAAAGCCAGCTGGTTGAAGCAGATGACCGCTTGTCCTGAGCCTGGTTCTGCTAAAGGTTTCTTCCTCATGAGGGAGTTTTTCCTTTCCACTGTCACCTTCATGCTTGATCAAGATGAGAGTTCTGTGATGGAGTTAAACTCAAAGCAGTCTGCTCCTCAGATAAATAATGTTAAATTGTTATTTTTATATATGAATGTTTCTGTTCAGTGCCCTGAGATGACTTCTGTTGTGACTTGGCGCTATATAAATAAACTGAATTGAATCTTCATCATATCGTGAGGGTAAAGGGACTTACTGATGTTCCCACCGATCTCATAAAGACACAGATCTTCTTTGTTCATTACCACCGAGCTAAGAGGACAAAGACAGAACGGTTTAGGGCCGTCAGGCAAGTCTTCTTAAAACAAAAAGTCCAAGAGTGTGCAGATATTACCTGTCTTGGCTGAGGAAGCGAGTTAATACATCAGCAGCCTGCAAGTCCTCTGTCAGCTGAACTGCCATGGAAACTTTGCTGAACTGGGGGGCTTGAACTCGAATGAATCCCAGAGAGTTCTCCTGGTTGTAAACAAAGACCTGCAGAGCCCCGTAAGAAAAACACACGATGGATCACTTTTACTTAAACACTTGAGTGAATCAAGGCCATCGCCCTAAACACTGTCACACTGGATACACTAAAAGTCACATTAAACATGTTAAACGTGCACTTTGAGCAGGTGAAAAAAATGTGGCTTCTCTTCTGTTTGAAAATGTTCAAATAAGTCTGTGGGCTCACAGAGACGAGATGAGTGTTACTGTTAGAGCCACGTCTGTTTCTGTGTTAATTCTTGTAATTGTCACAAAAAGGAGGTGTGTCTTTAAACATTTCTCCTGTTAGTGATAGACCAAAAAAAACATTAAGATAACAGAACGACTGTTAATCAGACGCTTACTCTGTTTGAAAGAAGAAAATTGTTTAGGTGGCGTTGTTAAATTTGTTGGCTTTGTGATAAAAAAAAAAAAAAATTAAGTATAAATAAATAAAAATATCAAGGTACCTATCTTAATAACTTGTGTTTTCTCTAAACAAGTCCCTGACCACTAAGAGATCAGGATGCTCTTACCTCAGAGATGTTTTTTTCAGATGGTTTGTCCGTGGTTATTTTCTTCAGCAGCTTCCGTACGGCTCGTTCTTTATTTTGTTTCCGCTGATTTTCCATGTTTTGTTGTCTGACTTGGTTCAAAATAAACTTCGGGATCTAGATGATGCAACAAAGACACCCTTTAGTGCACAACACGTCCAGAACAGGTCACCTGTTTATGTGTTTACAGGTAATGTCTTTGATCTTACAGTCCACAGAAGATTGCGGTATCTGATCAGCAGCCGGACGATGTTGGCGGTGCCGGTTGCCATGGAGAACTCCTGCTGCTCGGTCACCTTTGACCGAAAGCCTTTGAACATGAAGATGTTGGGCGCCATGACGACAGAAACATTGTTTAAAGTCATCTTGTTTTTGGCTTGATGGTCGATCACATGCTGGAAAAACTCCACCAACGCCTGCGAGCAGTGACAGTTACTCAGTTTTATAAATTAGACGTGTATAAATATGAAAACGAGACACTTGAAGTGTGCGGCTACCTTCAAAGTATCCCGATTAGCCTCGGGTAACAAAAGGACCAGCAGGTTCAGAGCCTGCAGCTGCTGCTTCTTTGTGGGGAACTCTGTCGTGGCACAAACAGAATGAAACACCAAGATCAAGATCTCTGCTCCTCGTCTGAAATCAAACAGAATCCTGCGCAGAAAGATCGTATACACACTGTTCACAGCGATGAAAGCGTTGAGGTACTCCACAGTCAGGAGCGGATGGGGCAGCTCCCTGATGAACAGCTTCAAAAGGCTAGCAGCATCGTGCTGTTTCAGATGTTTCCATGGAAACGTCCCATCGTAGAAAGACGACTCGAGCTCCTGGCACAGTGACTGCATCAAGAACAAACACACAACAAGAAGCACACAACTTGAGTTAGTTTAGCTGGCAATGGTATTATTTTCATATAAATAATTTGTGTGTTTTAAGGAGCCACTGTAGAGGGAAATACCTTGACTCTAGTAGCTGCTCCGGGGATCCGGAGCAGCCCCTCGGTGTCCAATCCTTCCGCCTCGACATGATTCATGAGCTAATCATAAAAGCCAGCATAAAGGTGAGGTCAAACACCTTAAGTGAAATGTTGTGCAGTGAGCAAAGCGAACTGACAAAATCTTAAAAATAACAATACAAAAAACATATTACTGTGTGATACTGATATTATGACTACTGAATCAACAACAAATAAAAATAATTTAAAATATCTCAGTTTGACACTGGACTGACTGGGATCCTCACCTTCTGCAGTATAAATGGCACTTTGGTTCCAGGCGCTCGCTTCTGGTCTTGGTCCAGTAAAGTGGTAAGTGGAACCCCAAATAGACCACTTTCTGCCCACACACATAAAAACAAAAGCAAATACATATATATAACTTGTATAAATCTACTACTTTAAGGTACTTTGAGAGTGAGACTAAATGCACAGATACATATTAGTACGTAGCTTTAGTATTTTTCCTTCTTGTTTCCAGTTTGGTTCTGTTTTCTCTGTGTTTCTACCTTTAGTTTTCACTTTCACAGCTTTATGCGCCTTGAGGTCGATCCCAGCCGTGTCGAACAATGCGGTCACCTCCACAAGAACGAGCCTCAGCACCTAAAAGATGACAACATGCCAGAAAAATAACAAAACATTTACACAGGTTTATAAAAATCATAACAATTAGGTTAGGTCATAGCACTTTTTATTTTTACCTTTTTCATATCCAAAGAAGACAGATCTCCGATTTTGGTTTGCCCCGTTTTATCTCGAAGGAGCTTAAAATTCTAGAGATGATAAATAAAGCAAAAGAGGATTAATAGGACTTTTAATGGCTGGCGGAGAAAAGAAGAAAAATCCACATTCGACCATACAAAACTTGAAACCTAATGTTTTAAGAAGTTGACTTAAATTTAGCTGCACTACTGATCTTGACCACCAGGTGGCCCTGTAGCACACAAATATCCCTGCACCAAACCTGTATTTTTTATTTTTGCTAATAATCAACAAATAACATTGCTAAACCAACATTTTAAGTTCCATCATTAATTTGAGAAATAAAAAGGTTTATATTGAGATAACACTTTGTGTAAATGCAAGAACCATAATTTCAAACTACTTGCCAGCACAGGCTGTAAGCAATAGTAAATTTATTTTAAAGTTTTAGAAATACACTAAAACAAAAATACACACTGAGCTGCCTCTGGTAATCAATGACCACAGTGATTCATTAACTGGAGCACAATTTAAAAATCCATAAACTAAAAAAAAAAAATTTGGAGCGTTTGTTTGCAGAGCATATGTATATAGATTTGATTGACAGCTTTTATTGTGTGTGTGTAAATGACTCACTGGTAGTTTGTCATCAGGTGAGTTAAGGCTGTTGGTGACCTTTAACTTTTGATGGTTGTCTCGGTAAGAGAGCGCCTGCTCTGAAAACGCCACCTCAACATTCAGCTCCGTCTCAGTTTCTGTAAGGATCCATAAAATAAATAAAAGATACAACACAAAGAGAGTAGTCGGAACATGTTTATGATGGTTATGCGCAACTACTATGTCCATAAAAACAGAAAACACGTTTAACTGATGTTTGATCCCACACGTTAGTCACAGCAGCTGAAAAAGGAAGTAAGAGAGATTTGTTGACTTTACAGCTTCTGTTAGGTTTAACATGATTTCCTCTAATTTAAAACATGTAGAATATAACATCCTTCTTCATCTATAGATATGAAGTGTTTTTATCATTTGTACTACAGTAGTCCCTCACTACTTCGCGGCTCGACTTTCGTGGACTCGCTCTTTCGCAGTTTTTCAAAGTAAGAGTGGACATGACACACAATCGGCTGATTGACGGATGAGCCACACGAGTGGCATGGATTGTTTATTTAAAATAAATTATTTTAAACAATTTAGCACCTGCTGCACCTCTGTGCAGCCCACAGGTGCAGGGAGAAGCTCCCTCTGCAGCCTGTCATGATCTCCTCTCTGCCACCTACGGCTCTCTGCCACAACCACATTTCTGCTCTGTGCTGCAGAGCTGCGTGAAGGGTTAACCCATTGCTGTTCTCTTCTTTTTAAAGAGTAAAGAATTTTAAAGTATTTAAATTTAAATTGTTTATTTAAACAGAAGGATGGAAACTGGGAGTGAAACTTGAACTACTGTATCCCTACTTCACGGTTTTTCACTTATCATAGGGGGCGTGGTCCCCTAAACCCCGTGATAAACGAGGGACTACTGTATAGTCATAAAGAGCACTTTCCTCTACACGTCTGCAGAAACTCTTGTTGATATTTTTATTTCCTGATGTGCAAAATTAATAAACAAATTATATTTTTATGTCCGAGTCACCAGGCAGAAATGTATTATAAAATCAGTGTGAACCTCCATGCTGACTAATCATGCACGTGCCACGTACCAGCGGTTGTGGCATCGTTTTGTCTGTTCTCACTTCCCCCTCTGAGATTATGAGGCTCTTCATCCTGCAACAAACACAATCACATGAATACATCACTGCACAGCACACTCACTGTTACACATTTACATTTTCTCTGGTAATCTATTAGAAGATCAAATGTGTATTTAGGGGAAGACACAAATTAATGTGGACTTGCACCAAAATCTAAGAGTCGTAAAAGTCTCTTTTTTTTTTTTTTTTGCTTACATAGTCTAAAAAAAGTCTATTTAAAGCACATTAAAGGGAAAATCGGTGGCTGTGAAGAAAACAACAACAAACATCTGATGGAGTTAATGAATACGGACAATGATGCTGTAGTAAAACGTAGTGAGGGAGAAAAATTAGAAATAGTGACGTTGTTGAAGTGGTGCGTTTAGTTCATGTTACTGAATTAAAGCAGAAGTCATGAACTTCAGTTTTAAAGTCTTTAACCTGATGATCTCCACAGAGACGGTTACCTGACATCAGATGGAAACTAAAATTATTCTGAAAGGATGCATCATAAACAAAATGACCAAAATGTTTCCATTAATTATCTTCTTGAGAGTAAAAGAAGAAGACTAATATAACTGTAAGGTCCTCTGGGTGAAGATAAGGTTATTGTGGTTTAGATTAGCACAAGAGCGCTGCAGCTCATGGAGTCTCGTTGCAAACATCACAGCGACTTCAGTCCTCCGGGGAGTTACAATTTGTTCCAGGAGAAAAAAAAAAGGAAATCATTTTGTACTTGTTTGGTGCGCTGCATAATTTTGCACAGAATAACCCATATGATCACTTCTGCTTCAAAAACACCACAAAATCTGCCTCACCGTAGTATGGGTGCTTTTGTTGCTAATTCTAGGTAAAAAGTTCACATTGTACTTCTAAGTGTCTACAACAGGGGTTCCCAACACTGGTCCTTGAGGGACACCATCCTGCACGGTTTAGTTGCTTCTCCGCTCCAACACACCTGATTTTAATGAACGGGTTATTAACAGGCTTCAGCAGAACTTGAGGAAGTAACTAAATCACTGAATCAGGTGTGTTAAAGCAGATAAACTACTAAACATGCAGGGTGGTGTTCCTCAAGGACCAGTGTTGGGAACCATTGGTCTGCATTTTTAGGATGTGTGAAAACATATAAGTTTATTTAGTCAATTATAAATTGATTAAAATAATGGTTTGAAAAACAAAAAACAAAACTTCTTAACTTGGGAATATTAAAACCATTTGTTGCTCTTTATTCAGTAATTTTCACTCTATTTGCAACAATTAATCAAGCAGGTTATGAATAAATGTCTTAAAAGTATAGGAGCTCAAAGGTTGAATTTATGTTCAATGTAAAAAACAAAGTTGATAGTTTTCTCTTGTTTTCAGTCTTTTTTTAAATATTCATCAGACTCTGACTTTAACTTTCATACAAATGTTAGAGCACTGTCAGTTTTCTGTTTAGTCTAATAGTATCTTTTACTCCCAAAACGTACAACTTCAGATAAAAATAAAAATATACTTTATTGTCCCAAAGGGAAATTAGCTATAGGCCTAAACTGCTACATTACACTAAACATTAATGACCCAACAACATGCAAAGACAAAAGTTAAGAAGAAATCCAAAAATAAAAGCTTTGATATTTTAAAACTTAGTTTTAAGACTTTATATAATTATATCAAGACAAAAACTTCATAAAAAGGCAGATCAAATATACTACAGTAATCCTCACAGGATTTCTCATCATACATCTCCATCGTTCTGATATTTTTAGATAAATGTGTTTATTTATAGAATAGATTCAGACTCACACTTTATATTTTTTCTATTGTGTAATGTAGTCAAAGTACTAATAGCTTTATATCAAGTTTTAACTTTAATCTGGTAGTTTTCTTGTAAGTCAGCAGATCAACAGCTTCAGTAACAAATCCAGCAACGTATTAGATTTCTCACACCACCTTTTGTGATTTAATGAATTTAAAGTTTATTAACAGAATGTCCGATTTTTTTAACACAAATGTCTTAAATGAACAGAGATGGTCGGGTGGAGGCTGACAGAAAACAGCAGAGCCAATCAGCAGCTCATCATTTGCTCTGTGTTAAGATGTTCGTCTCACCTTTCCAGGAGGTCTGAATATATCCCGAACATCTGGAAGGTGCTGACGGTTGCGTCGCCGTAGCAACGTCTGATGCAGCGACGCCACCCGGCGCTCTACAGCTGCAGCCTGCGTTCTGGTGAGGGTGGACAGGAACACGGCGCTGTCTTCTTCCTGGCAACCAACCAGGATCAGCCGTGAAGCGACAAGAGGAGCGTTAACCTATTTATTCTTTCCTCTACTCTGTTGTTTTACACACTGTCATCAGTAAATATACATCAGTGTAGCACGGAGGATAAAATGATTGACACCTGGTCCTGATCATCTGCTGCCAGCGAATCACCAAACAGTCGTGCTAGCCCTGCCTCTGCAAGCCACGCCTCCTCCTGCTCTCCTTCTGAAAGAAAAACACCGGGACATACCGGTAACTCACAAGGAACAAAGCTGCTTCTGTTACTTTATTATATTTTAAATGATGGACCAGTAGCAGCACTTTATAAAATGAAAAGAAGGTTGTAATAAAAAAATAAATTAATTAACATAAAGACTGAGTTTTTTTTTTTTTTTTTTTTTTTTGATACAGGAGTGATGCAGGATGCTTAAACCAGTAAAGAGGTCTGTTTAGAAGATATAACTAATCTAAGGCTAATTTTGGCACAGAAATTAAACATATAAATGATATTTAATGAAGTCAACCTTTCAAGAAAAATATAATTTTAAACAAAATGACGAGATTGACATTCTTAATGTGCAATGCAAAGACGGAAGTTTGCACAAGTCTGAGCTCGCACAGATTCCTCTGCTTCAACACACACAGTGTTAAAATATTTCTCTGAAATCAAACACAGCTGCAATAAGAAGCGGCAAAATAACAGTCTGTGTATGAGAGTTCTGATTCGGCAACATTATGACACCGAAAAAAGCATAAACATGTTGACAAACTGTGAGCTTAGCGGTTTTTTGTTTTGGTTTTTTGTCTGTGGGAGGAATGGAGGGTTTTTACACAACTCGTACCTGGTAATCAGTTCATAACTGAAAACACATACATGTGCGCACACACACAATCTCACACACACACACCAAAACTAGCACACACTGAAATTCTACCATCACGTGTTTTACTGCATATTAAACTGAGAATTAAATACATTTGTGTTCCATCAAAGGAGGGTACATTTCATGTCCTTTCCACTTCTTCCCATATATCCAGAGTCACCTTCTGGAGTTTTTTGCTGCTCCTCCTCTTGAGCTTCACCCTCTGCCCTCCCTGCTGCTCCTCCTTCTGAGCTGGTGATATTCTCGACCTCCTTCCAGTAGTCGTCCATCTCCAGCTCGTCCAGGGAGTCCTGCAAATCATTCAAACCCACACAAAAAGTTGGAGGTCTTTTCAAGTTGTCTTTCTAGTTTCTGTCCTTGTCGGCTATTTATCTTACTTGAAATTTTTACATGACAAAAAAAATAAATAAATCAGGATGTGATGCAACAAGCAGAGGGAAAATAAAGCCAGAGCAGCCTGTCAGAACAAGTCTCTGATGGCAGCTAGCTTATCAGTTTCACTTAAGATAAAATTCTCACAAAACAAACATCTTTCCATAAAATCTCTGAGAAAAACAACAACCTTACAAGCTTGTTTTTGGAAGTTGCTTATATCTTTTTTTTTTAAGTTTTTACACATTAGAGATTACCAAAATGCCTTTTCCACCATAAACATTTCCAAATGTAAGTTAGTTTAAATAGTTCTTATTGCACAGAGATTGTGGTGTTTTTGAGTTCCCTTGCTCTCTCAATTGCAAACTGAATTATCTCCAAAGTAGAGTACTAAAATATATGTTGATGCCTGAATATTATTAAAAAAAATTATAGACACCCTATAATTTGAGCCGTTTCATAAATAACATTTTCACGTTTTTTTCTTTCATTTTTTAAATAGTTTTTTTTAATGAAGTTTCTAATAGGGCCTGACTGCTATATCGGCAGGGCCGACATTTTAGGCCGATATAGGCATTTGGGGACGTAACGGTATCGGTAATAATTGTCCCATTATACGTCATCACCTTCACTTAAGTTTCAGTTTCACTTTCAGCAGAGCGGAAACAAGCATCAATACTGTGTAGCGTATTTTGGTGAACATAGCATGGTAAGTTTATTGTAACTGATCAAAACATAAAAATAAAAAAACAATAATAAATTCTCTTCAATCTTCCAACCTGCTAGTCATTAGCTACGTGACTCTCAAGTTAGCAAGCTAACGTTTAAATAACCTAGCATAGGTTATTGCCTTGTAAAACTTTAGCCAGAACAATAAATCCATTGTAGAGGTAAATATACTGTAAATCAGTGTTAATAACATTATTTTTGTCGTCCTCAATGAAATGTACTGTTTGTCTGAAATCTTTACTTCTCTGCAAAGAAAAATAAACTCTGCTGTGGTCAATACTAATTAGGCCTTTCACCATATGTGACTGACAGTTTAAACAATGAACAGGGAAGGATGTTTAGTTGAATTTATACATTTGTAACACACTCGATAACTTTATGTTGAATATCTAAAAAAGTAATTCAGGTCCTCTGGAGGGGTTAAAAAAAAAAAAAGTTGTAGAAACGTTTCGTCTTTCATCTGAAAGACTTCTTCAGTCTGAGGCGCTGTATTCTGCTCAGTTTTATAAAGATCACCCTCTCATAGTGGATCAGCCAGTTTGTTGTTGACATTCCAAATTTGCTGCTCACATGATCAAGAAGGACCATCAGCCTGACGATTGATCATTAGCACCCTGATGGCTGTTTACTATTCACAGGGGGTTGAGTGATACTAGCAATCACAGCATTGTAAGAGGGGGACAATTGAACATATAGGCCTCCACCCCTGTTTAACGATGGACGATTTCTTTTCACAAAGATGGCCTCCTTTACTCCTCTCTCAAACCATTGTTCCTCTCTATCCAGGATGTGAACATCTTCATCCCTGAACGAGTGACCGCTGGCCTGGAGATGAGTGTAGACCGCAGAGTCCTGGCCTGATGATGTTGATCTTCTGTGCTGGTCCATCCTTTTGGCCAGTGGTTGTTTAGTTTCCCAGATGTAAGACTGATCACAGCCCTCCTGACACTGAACAGCATACACAACATTACTCTGTTTGTGCCGGGGGACTGGATCTTTGGGATGAACCAGTTTTTGCCGTAATGTATTTTGGGGTTTAAAAGCCACTGGGACGTTATGTTTAGAAAATAAACGTCTCAGTTTCTCTGACACTCCCTCAACATACGGAATGACCACTGGTCTGGGTCTGGGTTCCTCATTTTCACCTGTTGGCTGACTGGAGTCCTGTTTGGGTTTCTTCTCTGCTTTCAGGAAGACCCAGTTAGGATATCCACATTGCTCTAGAGCCTGTCTTGTGTGGGATTTCTCCTTCTGCCTGGCTCCTGAGTTAGTGGGGATGCTGTCTGCTCTGTGGTACAGAGTCCAGATGACTCCTAACTTGTGCTCCAAAGAGTGATGGGAGTCAAACTGCAAATACTGGTCTGTGTGGGTGGGTTTGCGGTACACCTCAGTTTGCAAATGTCCTCTATCAGAGACTGAGACCTCACAGTCCAAGAAAGCCAACTTGCCATTTTTTACATCTTCTCGTGTGAACTTGATGTATTTATCCACAGAGTTGATGTGGTCAGTAAAATGTTGGACTTCCTGAGATTTAATTTTAACCCAGGTGTCGTCAACATACCTGAACCAATGACTTGGTAGTGTCCCTGAAAAGGACGTCAAGGCTCTCTTTTCTACCTCCTCCATGTACAGGTTGGCAACAATAGGAGAAACTGGAGACCCCATAGCACACCCATGTTTCTGCCTATAATATTGCTCCCCACAGTTTCAAGAGTTGACACAGTTGTTCTGTGGAAAGCGTGGTCCTGCTGCTCAGAGTGGTGTCTGATTTTAATCTTAAACTGACCACCTCTACTGCATCATCAACAGGAATGCACGTAAAGAGTGATGTGACATCAAAAGAGACCATTGTTTCATCAGTCTCCATGATGACATCCCTCACCTTATCCACAAAGTCCATGGTGTTCTGTATGTGGTGTTCTGAGCTGCCAACTAAAGGGATGAGTACAGACGCCAGATATTTGGAAACATTGTAAGTGACAGAGTTAATCATGCTAACAATTGGTCTTAAAGGTACACCTTGTTTGTGGATTTTAGGTAAACCATACAGACTAGGTGTGGCCTCCCCTGGGTACAGTCTGTGGTGCAGAATATGGTCAATAGCCTTGTCCTGCTCTAAAAATTTCAGGCAATCTATCAACTTCTTCTTGTAACTACTTCCTGGATCTCTTTTCAGCGGTTCATTAAGTGGTTAAGTCACTAATGAGTGTCATAACTTTCTCATGACAGTCTGGTTCAAAATCACTGTGCACCTTCCTTTGTCTGCTGGGAGAATGATGATGTTTTTGGCCTTGCTAAGAGTGATGAGTGCATCCCTCTCCCCTCTACTGATGTTGGAAGGTGGTGGTTTGGCATTGCTGAGGCAGGCTGAAACTTTGAGCCACCGCCCATCATTAAACAGGGGTGGAGGCCTCCGTGTTCAACTGTCCCCCTCTTACAATGCTGTTATTGCTAGTATCACTCAGCCCCCAGTGAATAGCAAGCAGTCGTCAGTGTGCTAACGATCTAATTTTAGGCTGATGGTCCTCCTTGATCATGTGAACAGCTAGTTTTGAATATCAACAACAAACTGGTTGATCCACTATGAGAAGGTGCTATTTATAAGGCTGAACATAATACAGCTCCTCAGACTGAAGAAGTCGTCTTTCAGACGAAAGACTAAAAGTTTCTACAATTTTTTGTTTTTTGAACTCGTCCAGAGGACCAGAATTATTTTTAGACATTTCTACCTGGATTATTGAGCATGCTACAGGATATTTTATGCAGGATATTTTATGGTAAATAGTGGAGGATAGAAAATGTGAATGAATGCTAAGAAGACTGTTTAAAGACTTCAAGCGTTAAAACAGGTTTAAAAGTAGCTGTTTTCTTAGATTCTTGGGGTTGGACAAAGTTAAAAATTTTCAGCCATTATAATTGGTTATCGGTATTAGCCTTTCCCTCCCGATATCGGTATTGGCGATAGCCAAAATGTCCATATCGGTCAGGCTCTAGTTTCTATGCTTAAACAAGTTTATCTATTTGTATTAGTAGTTAGTGAATATTTTTCTTTCAGTTATAACATGAACATGCTTCTTGTGCAGAAACTGACTTCTTTGCCATTTTTCTACTTTTTGTACATAGAGAGCCTGAAGTTAGCTACAGTATTTAATTAGTTGGGTTAGAAGCCTAAGCAGTAAGTCGCAGAAGGTTGGGTTTTTATATTAAAAGGCTTGATAACTTCTGTAGGCCACAGTGTTGTAGCCCTGAGGTTGCAGTTTCAAGCCCAGGTTGCTTCAGGACGGGCATCCGGCATAAAACTGCCAAATTTTGTATGCAAGTTTACTTCTGTGGCGACCCCTGCAAAAGGTAGTAGCCAAAAGTAAAACAATGTGCTAACTCTAGTAGCTTGTTGCAAATATTTGTTTCAAACTAGATTTACTTTAAAAAAGTTGATGGGTGTTGATCCTCTAGTAGACAAACCATGACCAACCCAGTTATTTGCTTCTAGAAAAAATGGACAAACAGCAAATTTTTCTATTTTCCAACAAGGGGGAAATGTTTAGAATTCCTTTCTATTGGCCAGCCCTGACTGATAACTCACTATGACCTCAGAAACAGGTGGGAGAGAGCGAGCACTACTCTGTGAACCTATCAGTGGAAAAAACTCAGCACTGGCCCCGTCAGCTCATAAGAAGGAATCCAAACCAGTGGAATGATATAATGAGAAACTGTAGCAGTTTTTGGTAGACTCAGCAATTACACTGGAAATTAACAGAAAAACAACTTTTCGTCCCATCTGTCAGGGCCTACCTGGGAATAGCTGCGCCGACATGCGGGCTGGTGTCTGATTCTGGTATTGGGGCTGTGCCTGGGACTGGAGACAGGCTGGGACCTAGAGCAGGGAGCAGGACTTGAACCGAGGACCACTGATGCATGCACGCTGCTGGGCTTTGAACTATTTGTGGTCAAGGAAGCTTCATATCTGTCTTCTTCTTGTGTATTTGGGTTCTGCTGATGAGTGTAGTGGCCTGTTTTACTGCTGTTGACAAACAAACGAAAATATTAAAATCAGTTGGTTTTATGACGAGTGGGCACCATCAAAACATTTACGAAAACAGACATTTGTCACCTTTATGATAAAAAAAATACCATTATAAGCAACACTAGATTAGTTTCACTTCTTTCTGTGTACTTTGCACTGCCTTTATCAGAGACGTTATATATCTTATACGTGCACCCATCATAAAAATATTCCAGGATAATAAACGTATTGTGTGAAAGCTGTTTACCCCACAGAAATGTTTCCTTTGCCTACAATGGAAGAACAAGAGAGAGATAGCCTCTGGCATGAATTTGTGAACGTGACTCAGAGACACAACGGTCAAAGGTTCTAACTAAAGAAAAGTCAGCAGTCTGTTGAATTCCCAACCAGCTCTGCCGGGACTTTCTGCACATAAACTGTTTATACAGCTCTTTTGCTGTATAGAGCAAACATGCAATAGAAAGCATTGCTAATAATAGCTGAATATGGCTAGATTTGCTAAGTGAAACAGTCAAAAGTACAAGTTCTTCTGTGCACATCACTGTGTGACACACGATACTTCAAGATGTTTGTGCAGCCAAGATTTACAGCTGAAACATCGCAGACATCGTCTTAAAGTGGGGAAAGAGTGCATGAGCTTAAAAGTGAGGTCAAGTATTCACACCCTGCTGTCATACAACAGTTGATAGTTTTTATTATTTTTGATTACAATATGTCTTTTAATGTCTTCAACTTGAACTCAAACCCAAAGAGTTGTAGTTGCAGATTAAATAAAACATACAAATGTGTCTTTACCCTCACGTTTGGTGTATTTTTAAGATACAGATCTAAACAGGAAGCATGTTTTCTGAGCTAACGCCACATCTTCACGCTAGCTTTGCTTTCCCCCACTAAAAGCAGGCCCATTGACCAATTATCATAGTTAATTAAATACAGCCATTCTTTAAATACTCTAAACTGGCCACATCTGAGCATTCTGCCATGAGTAAAAAACAGGAAGATGTAGAAACATTCAAATAATTTTAGTCTGTTTCCTACAATGAGGGTTATTGTCATGGCAGGGGTGTTTTTTTTTTTTTTTTTCCCAGTACAATACAGAAAAACCACAAAAGAAGTTGACAACATTAATGTTAATTTTAATAATGCTACAGGAAGAAATGGCGTGAAGGTATTTTTTGACTTTCAGAGCCATTCCATTCATCATCTTTACCCGGTTCTTCCTTTTCGGATCACTGGTGCCCATGTCCAGCAGTCACTGTGCGAGAGGCGGGGGACACACACCCTGGACAGGTCTCCAGTCCATCACAGGGACACAGAGACAAACAACCATTCACTCTCTCATTCACACCTAGGGACAGTTACCAATCAACCTAACGTGCATGTTTTTGGTCTGTGGGAGAAAACCCAAGCATGCACGGCGTGAACATGCAAACTACACCCAGAAAGGTTCCCGGCTGGGATTTGATCCAGCAACCTTTTTGCTGTGAGGCAGCAGCTCCACCCACTGCTCCACCGTGCTGTCTTCTTTCAGAGCCTTAAATGTTAAATAGCTAAATGTTCCTTGGATGAAAAAACATGTAATTCGAAAGAAAACCAAGAAAGTACCTCTTGTTATACCAAACGTGTCAAAAGGTTTGCACATGAATGCACCACCAGCTCTGTATGACGGCACTATAGCATTCACACTACTTGGCAACAAAAACAAACCTGTTTCTAATTTATGGGACAAGTTTCTTTAAAACTTTTCACCCAGTATGGGCAAGCATAAACAAACCTCAGTGAAAAATAGAATAAAAAATAAACAGGGTTAAATAGAAATACTTCTGGTAATAACATCTGAAAGAGGAACAGCAGAGACAATGCAGACATAATCTCATCACCAGTGGCAGAAAGCGTCAGTAAATCACGATATGATTAAAATGACCCCACTGCCTCGTCTTCTTCACTTCCTACTCCTCGCTGTAACAGAGTGAGCAGGAACAGTCGGCTGCAGCTCTGATCATCTATCATTTTTTAACTCAGCTGCTACTGAAAAGAAGCTTCCAGTGGACAAGTCAACAGATTTGCAAATCACCAGTGTAATCTCACCTGTCAAAACACACAGTGAGAATCAACACTGGGATGTGTACATGTGCAGCAAGGTGAGAGAGGAAGCCACCTGATGTGTTTTTATCTTCTTTCAGCTGCTCTCTTCTTCAGGGGTCATCACAGCAAACTAACTCACACGAAGACTTAATTGTTTTTACACCGGACGTCCTTCCTGATGCAACCACAGACCACCGAGCTACCACAGCCCTCTGTGTGGAGCAGAGCTGCTACCTAGAGCGCCCGGGGGAGCAGAAGGTGGGGGTTAAGAGCCTTGCTCAAGGGTCTAGAGTGGGGCAAATGAGAGTAGAGGCAGGTGTGGGTGTTTCACCTTTTCCCACCATCATTTTTTATGTTGTCGGTCTGGGGGATTGAACAGACAACCTTAAGATCACAGGCTAGCCTTCTAACCTCTAACCTCTACGCCTCCACTCCCCTATGTTGAGGTTTATAAACTGGAAATGTAAGTATAGACATATTTATGGGAGTAGGAGGTAAAATCTATTTATGGATGAATCACATCAAAGATTCAGATCAATTTTCAAACGTTAAAAATTAGAGATGCACCAGGGAATCGTCTTGTGACCAACACCGGTGAATATTCTGGCCTGTCAACACTCAAACATCTGGTATGCATTTGGTCATTAAACGCAGACGAGATGCTTGTTAGAAAAGTTTTTACTGTGTGGAAAAAGCATGAAGTTAGTTGTAGGGTTGATGGAGAGGCTGTTAGAGAGGAAACCGTTTTCTGTGGAGAAATATTTTCTGCTGTCCAGCTTGTAGCCGGTTAGAGCTGCAGCTCCGCAGACAAGAGTGAAACATGGTGGAACAGAATATTAGAAGCTTTCTGAGTCGGGAACACTTTCATCTGAGGCAGCAGGCACAGAGACCACTGTTACCGTTAGCAATGCTTAATCCTAATGACGCTAAATTACTCTTTATTAAGCGTAAAAATACACTTAAATCAGTTTTTATTCATCTAAAATTTAGTTTTCAAGATAGCCATAATGCATTAATAATCATTTTGTAATCACATTACAACCCTCTTTTATGCAACTGAATTGAATTATTAAATACCCAAATATTCCCATTTCAAGTTTTTGTTAACATGCAAGTCTATATTTAGGTATACGCACAAAAAGCTGCAGCAGCCTGTAGGATTTTTGACAGGAATATCAAAATATTTCTGCCAACATGCACCGATACCGATCGATACAGAAAAACAGTGCTGAATTAACCCAAAGCATTTTTTTTTAAATGCAGACATAAATGTACTCAATTACAAATTTATTGAAAACTCTGCACCAGTACAGAACACTTAAACACACCAGTAGCTCCACAAGCTTGGTCAGACATGTAAAAACAACACACCTTTAATTTGTTCAGTCAGGGGAATTATGAATATAGCATCCCATGTAAAATAAATAATAAAGACACTGAAACTGACAAAAACAATATGTTGACAACTTTGGTCAAACATGAAAAAAATAATAAACCAACAAACCTTTCAAATGGTTCAGGAATTCTAAATATAATGTAAAATAAATAATAAGGGAGATGAAATAAGAGGAAAAAAATAGTTTCACTATCTTGGTTGGCAGATATTTAAAATAAACAGCAATCAGCTCCTGTCCTTATGGATCAGTCACACTGATACCCAATCAAGAACTTTTTTCAATATCGTACCGATACCAATACTATATCGGATTGGTGCATTTCTACCAATACCCGATCAAGGATTTATTTTCCCAATTTTCCCCGATATCTGAACAGATATCGATACTAATATTGGATCGTGCATCTCTAAACATAATCGTGTAATGTGAAACTAATGGCAGGTTAAAGTTCATAAAAATTAAGGTTTATATACATGAACAATGGCATAAACTGTCCAAAATTTTCTGAGTTGAGTTTTAAAACAGCAGCAATCCACTTTGATCTTGACCTCACCTGTCTGAATTAAACTCTATCTAGAGCAGGTAAGATGTTAATTATTCATAACCTCTTCCAATAAACCCCACTGCAATAGAGCTGAACTACTGCTTTAAGTCACTACAAAACATTTGGTGTAACTATAGTATAGCCACTAAGATTAAATATTTTATATCAAAACCACACATGTCCTGTTATTATTTACAATGCAGAATATTTCTATTGTGATATGTTTTAAAAAAAAACATCTGGTAGTGATTTTATGTCATAAAAATAAAGAATTCATAAGAATACAGCGCTTAGTCAAATGCCAGCAGTTTCTGTACTTAAAGGGTGTGTAAATTGCAAGGTTTTAACAGAGTATAAAAATATTAAAGGTTTCCAAGACAAATCATGGCAACAAAACTGATAATGTGTCACAAAACAAATCAGTTTATATCAGTAAAAAAATTATCAGATTGGTCACCTATTCAGCAATGACAGATACTTTACATTATAATGTAAATAAATGAGCTTTGCCACATCTGACTGAACAGCAGTGAGTTTATGTTTAACGTTTAAATTAAAGTGGAATTATCAGCAGAGAGCATTAATCTGACTTCTCACTGAGCGAGGCACATACCACAGCAGACTTTCTGCCAAACAGTACTGCTAAGTTTATACTAACACCACACACAGTTGGATCAGATGTCTTAACAAAAAAACTATCTTTATTACTTTCATTCATCTCCTTCCTTTCCAACTTCTCTCCTCTCCTCTTCCTCCTGAACCTCCCAAATGATTTCACTCGCATGGAATGACAGAAATGTTCCTGTTTTACTGATTTCCTTCAGGAAATCTGGTTTAAATCTGGGAGACGCACACCTGAGCTAACTTTGTGATGAGTTAATCATTCACCTGGAGTTTCAGAGTGAATAGCTTGACTGAACCATAAATCACATATAAACACAGATGTTTTTTTAAATCAAATTTACAGTACA